TGAAAAAGAGCAGTTCTGCACAATGCATGAAATCCAAGGCAGAAAGCTGAGGATGCTTATTAGTTAGAGGGATTGTCTGCCTTGATTGCCCATGAGCTTAACATCAGGACTTTGCTCTGAAGGACACAAATTCCTAGGGACATTTTGCTATCACTAAGGAGGTGTTGAAACCCAGAAAACAGTTCCACCTTTCTTTCATTTTTCTTTTCAGCTACAAATATTTCCTCCTACTGTTTCTTTTGCATCATTGTGATGTGTGTTTTTCAGAATGTGTTTTTTTCTTGTGACCCCCTCCATGACTATGTGCGTTGCAAAGATTTGTGCCTTAAAGAGTGACAGTTGTTACATCTGGCTGAGAGAAGCCCTAACCAGACTGGATTCACTTTCTCTTTTCTGCTCGCTAGAATTTGCACTGGAAATTTCATACATTTTTTCAACTTTTTGAATGTTAAAGGTTCTTACAGTCCAGCTGGATTACAGTGACTAATTGTTTCAATAGACAGACACAATCTGGGAGCTGGGAGTGGGAACCAGAAGATATGTGGGGTGGGTAGTGTTGCAACACCTGAGCTTACCACATCACTTAGTGGCTCAGTTTTCCCCAGTGAGAACTGGGAAAGGTGGCATGCATAAGAAGCTCTGTCTGCAAGTGAAAAGGTACCTTGTGCATTTGGACCAATATTGACTTAGAAGGCTTATCTGAACAGTTGTTTTCATTTGTTTTGAGGAGGTGTATGGTGGCTTCATGGCTGCACAGATTAATTCTTGTACAATGGGAAGATGGGAAACACAAGCTGATGCAGGTATTTTGATACTTAAAGTTGAGGATGTTTTCCCGCTCTGAGAAAAGCTGAGAATCTGTAGCTCTTTCTGATTTCTGCCATAATTCCGAGTCTTCAGCATCTCTGCAAATTAGATTGTCTTTGTTATTGTGTAACTACAGTTGGCAGGGAACAGGGCAATTCCTTGGCACCAGTCATATTGTGAAAAGTTTATGTTGGGTGTCAGCCTGAAACTCCCACAGTTGTTTATAACTAGATAACAATGTGTCATGCAAACAGCTTCATGTTCTGAGGGATGGTCTGGGAACAAAGGAGTGTTTGGGGGGAAGTGGGGGCAGGGAATGTCTAAAACTGTAATGAAGAAAAGTAGAGATACATGTGTTTGTTAAGATGTAAGTGTGGTTGTTACGGGGGCTTCTTAATGGAACGTTGCTATTCTGAAAAAGAACTTTCAGAATAATAGGTGAGGGTTCAGTTATCCTGAGCCAAAAAGAAATGTATCTGGAGCCATTGACTTGGAAATAACCCCAAATAAGGCAGGTTTCTGTGACCAAATGCAGATTCAAAGGCTGATCTTGTGACCTAGGAAACTGGTTCTAATCTGCTGAAATCTTTGTAGCAGAGATAATTCAGTGTAGCAAGAACTGCAGACATTTACTGATGGTTTTATTTTTTAACCCCAATTTTGTCAAAAGGATCTTTTTGATTCTTGTGTCATGTTAATGTAACCTGGTAGAGAAATTAAATATATTAGCATTATCAGTATTGAGATTTGAAATCACAGTTAGCTTTGAATCCTTCTTTTGCTCTCTAATGCAGTACTCTAGGGATCTAGAGATAAGATGGATAATAATTATGTTTTTCTTAAGTACAAACAGAGAATTTTTACTACTGAGAACAGTAGAATTGTTTCGTGTGGGAGAGACTGTGATGGGAACCCTTAAAGTTTTGTGTGCATTAAGCTGGTCTGAAAATTAATACTGACTTTTAATTTTTTGGACAATGTTTATATTTTCAGTTTATGGTAGTATTCTTCCTTCTGCAATTACCTTGAAGATTGCCAATTTATTTTTAGAAGGGTAATAAATCAGAATTGGTCAGCTTTAGCAGTTAAATAGCATATCTAAGACAATTACTGATTAAAAAAGATCTGCCTTTTTTCCAGGATGCAATATGACAGACTACCAACAAAATGTTACGCGTATGCATTTCAGAAGAAGAGAAATAAAAAAAAGTAGATTATTCATAATAATCACTATTTGCAGTCCAACTATTATCTTTTACTTATACATCCTAGCCTGGTCTTATTTTGTAGTTCCATTTAAACCACTGAATTATTTTTTTTTAACATATGAAGAGATATTCCTAGGAAAGAAAAGGATATTTTAAAACTGTTAACAACTACTTCTAGCCATTGAAATAGCAGCAGTATGGGCTATGAGAGCTCAGCTGGTCAAACCAGGGAGTGAAAAGTAGTAGCAACACTAGACTGGATGGCAGAGTGTCATTTCATGTATTGTGACAGCCATTACTTGCTCACAAAATGAGACACACTACAGTGAGTTTGTTTACATTTGATTTTATTAAAAATTAAATTACGTAAGGCAATGTTGTGAGAAGGTTTGTGGATTTTCAAGATTCTCTGCCACAATTCTGTGAAATGTACTGTTTTGTCCATGCTGAAGTTATGTTGCCTGCAGAAAAAAAACTGTGCATGGCATTTCCCCGGTGAATTCTGAAATACTCTAAGTAGCAAATAGGTGCATAAAGTAAACCCTGTGAAGAATGAATTGTTTTTTGTTTTACTCTAGGGCTTTGATTTGGGTTATCTCCCCACCCTCTCCAAACAGTTGACAGATTGTTCACCGTCCCTGATGCTTCAGCAGATGCTGCTGTTCCATCTTCAAGCCATGGCTTCAGCTCCAGCTGTGCTGCTCTAGCCCAAGTTGCTCTCCAGGTCTGTGCCTGCAGCTTCTCCTGGCTTTGGAGCACAGCTTCAGGCAGGGAGGGCCCAAGTGTGCCATGGGCAGGGCTGGCAGAAAGTGAGCAAAGCAAAAGGGAGTGGGGAGAAAGTTTTCTGGAACAGCTTCTCCACAACCTCTCCCACTCCTTTCATTCCTGCCTCCATTTAATTTCATTGCTGTCACTTCATTTAATGTGTCTGTGCAGGCAGCTGCCTGTGCTGCATGATGAAATCCTGGTTGGATCCCCTCCCTAACCTGCTTCCCAGCCTGGCAGAAGGAACACCTGCACAAGGCAGGGTGGCATGGCAGGACAGTGGTGAGCTGATGAGGGAGGAGGTCAGCTGTGTTTTAGCTGCATCATGGCAAAGAACAGAGAGATTGACTACAGCAGGACCCCAGAGGCAGATAGGCAAATAAAGCAGCTGTGGGTGCTTTGGTTTTTATGTACTCCTAAATTTGTCCTACAGGTATCAGTCATGGTGTAGAACTTAAAGCAGCTTGACATTACTGAGTGACCAAAACTGTCTGAATTCAATTGCTTGATTTTGATAGTCAGCATGAAGTCTTTTTTAACAGAAGCTGGAAGGCATATGCTTAGCCGTTTCAGAAAAATAAGCTTAAGTTCTTTGTTCTCAAACTGACATCTTCTAAACAACCATTTGTGTCTGAAAATTGTCATTAATAAATTTGGGGTAACTTTTCAAAATTACGTTTACTGATCCATCTTAGGTACAAAGGGTTGTAGTAAGTGGGATTACATCAGGCTGATGACTGGTCACTAGTGGAATTCTCCAGGGAGTTCTCCAATGGAGTTCTCCAGGGCTTCATTTTAGGCCCAGCATTCTTCAATATCCTCATAAACAACTTGAATGCAAAATTGAAAGAATATTAAATGAGTTTTCTGAAAATACTAAACTGGGAGGAGCTGTTGACTGCCTCAAGGGCAGAAAGAGGCCCTGCAGAGACCCCTTGACAAATTAGAGAGATGGGCAATCACCAACCATTTGAAGTTTAACAAGGGCACACTGGGGATCCTGCACCTGGGATGGGGCAGCCCTGGCTGTGTGTATAGACCAGGGAATGAGAGGATGGAAAGCAGCACTGTGGAAAGAGACCTGGGATCCGTGGTTGATGGCAAGTTGAACATGAGCCAGCAGTGCCCTGGCAGCCAGGAGGGCCACCCATGTCACCCATCAGGCACAGCATCACCAGCTGGGCAAGGGAAGGGATTGTCCTGCTCTGCTCTGCTCTAGGGCAGCCTCACCTTGAATATTGTGTGCACTTTTGGGTGTCACAATGTAAGGAAGACATGAAGCTATGCAGGAGCATCCAAAGGAGGGCAGCAAGATGGTGAAGGGTCTAGAGGGGAATCCGTATGAAGAATGTCTGAGGACACTCAGTCTGTTCAGTCTGGAGGAGACTGAGGGGAGACTTCAATGCTGTTGCAACTTCTTTGAGAGGGGAGGAGAAGGGGCAGACACTGATTTTGTCTCTCTCGTCACCAGTGACAGTACCCAAGGGAATGGCCTGAAGTTGTGTCTGGAGAAGTTTAGGTTGGACATTAGAAAAAGATTCTTCACTTAGGAGATGGTTTGGCACTTGAACAGGCTCCCCAGAGAAGTGATCACAGCACCAAGCCTGACAGTTGGAGGAGCATTTGGACAATGCTCTCAGATAAATGGTGGGATGCTTGGGGCTATCCTGTTCTGGGCCAGGAGTTTGACTTCCATGATCCTTGTAGGTATCTTCCATGCAGGATATTCTATGACTCTATGATCTTCAATTTTTTATAAAGAACTCTTTTGCAAGTGACATTTATACATGCACAGACCTTAGCAATTAAAAATTCCATGCATGTTAGAAACTTCTATACAGGTTTGTGGTTGAAGAGCAGCTGTAGGCTGCTGCTTGCCTGGAGCACATTTCAGACTTCTCACCCATATTCTCTGTGACAGAGGCTGCAGTGTACCTTATTTCATCCCAGTCACATACAGCTTTTGGCTTCCTGGGAATGTGCCAGTGCAGCCTTCAGCTGAGCAAAGCCTGAACTCTTTGGTCTAATAATTAACTTTTGTAAACTTCCATGTGAGCTCCAGCTTTCTGTATATTCAGGCAGTTTCATTTATAAGTAGAAGCTCTTTTTATTGCAGAAGTCTCCCATTCTGTGATCCTCCAAAGATCTGGTAATGTTTTATTCCTCATCTTCACAGGCACTGATGTTCAATGGCTAGAAGAGAGCTGACAAGTGGCTGAAATGAATACTACTACTATCCTACAAGAGATTTTGATTAAAAGATCACAGCAGAAGAAGAGGACTTCTCCCTTAAACTACAAAGAGAGGCTTTTTGTGCTTACAAAGTCTATGCTAACATACTACGAAGGTCGAGCAGAGGTAGGAGACACAGATTGCCTTTGTTCCTTTTTGCTTTTGTACCATACTGGCTTTTTTTCTACTGTATGTCATACTATCAAGACCTGATTGGGGAAATGGTTGTTAGTGGCCATGAACATGAGCTGGAATTTCTCTTATTTATAATGCAAGTTGACGTAGGTGTAGATAACTTACCTGGTAGTCAATGTGAATTGGTTGTCAATAAGAGAAGTAGTGCATAGCCAGGATGGCAGGAATGACATAAAACAATGTTTAGAGGTGGTCATTAAAGCTGATTTGTTTCTCTCTCCAGAGAGATGAAAGATCACTGCTATGATGAATTGGGGAAAAGATAGAAAAAGTTGCAATTGCAGTTTCTTGTAGCCATGTGAAAGCCATTACATTCACATCTGGCAATTAACTGCATTTGAACAGGAGAAAGATCATTTGATAGGAGCAGTGCATTGCAGACCAAGTTCAGCAGAGACCAGATCCATTAGAGTGGATCATGCAGCCAGTGATTGAAGTGAAACTGGAAGCAGTTTATCTTTGACCACACAAACAACTCATCCTGATTACCACTTTCTGTGTAAATTCAGTTACTCAGGAAGTCATTAGTGTAAACTATGCAAATCCTCAGACCAGCATTTTTTCAAATAATCTCCAGACTCAGTTTCATACAGGTCACCTGCCCTCAGAGTGTCCTGTCATATCCTCAGTGCTGAGGGTGAGATTTTCCACTTAGGTGAGGCTACTTTCCATGTTTGTCACAATGCTGAAGAGGATTAAAATGACTGCAGTAGCTTTTGAAACATGTTGTATGCCTTGGGAAGCCATTTAATAAATAAAGCTTAATGGAGGGATCCCTGTAATCTCTTGTCTTGGCTGTCTTACCTGTGCTAAAAGAAGAGGGTAGAGGAGAGCTAAGGCTTGCTAAGCATGTTTCTTTGGCAGACATTATGGTTGCACCAGACCTGAGCTCACTTACCATGCTACAAGTTGCTCACAGCACTTAGTTCTCTGAAAGTGGCTTGGACACAGTCAGGGATTAAGAACAAGATCACAGACTGAGGTTGGAGGGGGCCTCTGGAGGCCATCTGATCCAAGCTGCCTACTCAAGCAGGGCCACACAGAGCTGGTTGCCAAGAGCCAGCTGGCTGTCAAATATCTCTGTCCAGTTGGCTGTTGAGTATCTCCATTGATGGAGTCTTCACAGCCTTGCTTGGCAAACTGAGCTAGGGCACAGTCACCCTCACATTAAAAAAAGACCAGCATCATTTCCTGATGTTCAGTCGAGCCTCTTGTCTTTCAGTTTGTGCCCAGTGTCTCTGGCCCTGTCACTGGACACTGCTGGCAGTAGCCCAGCTCTGTCCTCTTTGCACACTCCTGTCAGGCTTTTTATGCCCACATTTTATAATGGCAGAATGTGCCAGTCTCTCCTATTTTGGTGATTCTGGCCTCCTCCCAGAAAATAAAGAGGTGGGGGCTAAGAAGCCCTCTGAAATATTTCTTGCATGCTTATCCCATATCTTACGTTCAGATCAAATAGAAATGTGACAAACAGGTTTTGCAGGTCTAGTTGTCACCCTTTAAGAAGTTACCATTTCCAGCTTCCCCTCTTCCAGTCTTCCCCTTCCAGCTTTCCCTTTGCCCTTCAGGTTAATGTCCTCTGGCTAAAATGTTTTTCCACGAGACTGACTTATGGATCTCTCTGAGAGGGGTTTAAACTATCAGTTTTATTTGCAGTGAGATTGAACAGGGCAGCCCACAGTGCCCTCAGCGGAGGATGCAGTAACTCATTAAAACATTTCTGCCTAAGATACAGCCAGTTGGACTGAAAATATACATTATGCCTATGCTATGCCATCAGTTTGCTGCTGAAAAAGACCATTTTATCCCTGTCCTAGCCGTCCTACTCGCTTGAATTCATTCTGGTTCTTCTTGGAATCCATATTGCTCTGAAAAAAATTTCTAATCATGGAACCATAGAGTGGCCTCAGGAGGCCGCAGGGTCAGGAGGGACCTTGGAGTTCATCCAGTTCCAACCCCTCTGACCCTGGCAGAGATACTTTCCACTAGCCCAGATTTCTCAGAGCTCCATCCAACCTGGCCTAGAGCACTTCTAGGGATGGGGCATCCACCACCTCTGTGGGCAGCCTGTTCCAGTGCCTCACCACCCTCACAGTAAAGAATTCCAGAAATCTGATCTAACCTACTCTTAGTTGGAAGCCATTCCCCCTTGTTCTGTCACTACATGCTCTTGGAAACAGATTCTGTCTTGCTTGTCATCTCCCTTCAGGTGCTGGAAGGCTTCAATTAGGTCAGCAGAAAGGTATTTGATCTGGTTTTATTTCTGCTGGATTAGTGTTCTGCTGGGTTAGCACGCTGCATGAGCTGGGTGCAGGATCTAACAAGTGCCAGAGGCCCTGCCAGGTGGTGGAGGAGAACAGGATGCTCTGACTGTTGACATCAGCAGGTTGTTAGACTGGCTCAGCTGTAATGCATTACTTTCCAGCCTCAAACCATTTTCATTTTCACTGTTCCTCTCATTTTAGATTCTTTTAAACATTAATCAGCATTGTATTTATTAACAGTGTTGTCTGAAAATAGTGAGCTCTGATCTTAAAGGGGCATGCTGAATATTTTGGTCTCTTTAAAAAAACACATCTGTAAGGCTAAGATCTCTGTGGCACAGTTATTCCTTAATATCTCTGGACAACTTAAATGGCAAAGATGTTTGTGGGTTTAATTATTTGTTTGGTTATTGTTTGGGTTTTTTAAAGCCAATTGTGGTGGCTATAAATATGTATTTAGAGTAAGCTGCACATTCTGGCTGAGGTAATTTCTATGAAGAGAAAAAAGTTATTAGCCATCAAGACAATTCTGCCCTCTCTGAATAACTGGAAGTTTATTGCTGAAATAAATGTGTTGAATTTAAAGACATGACAGATGAAAGGATAAGTACAGACTGATTTAATTTTGGGCTTGGCAGTATTCAAAGTCCAGATTGGTAAAATAAGCATGGAAATCCCAAGCCAAGAGGATCTCACACCCTCATTTTAATCCCATAACTGTAGTGGTAGCATTCTGCCAAGGGTGGTTGAGTTCTGCTCCTCTAGGCAAGTGTGCAATACCCAGTTTGATTGTTGGCCAATCTGAAGTATTTTCTTGTTTTCTTCCATTTTAACTTTTATGGAAATTTAGTAGAGAGAGTTCAAGAAAAACCCAGGGTTTGCAGGCACGTGAATAATCATACCACTTCTTTTTTAAAACAAGAATAAAGTAAATCTCGTTAACCAGATTAGTCAATACTCAAAGTGTGGGCAGGTTGGGATTATTAATAAAGTGACAGAATTAGACATTTTGTATGTCTGCTGACAGAAGTGGAACATTTATGACAACAAAAAGCAGTCAACCATAGCAAACACTATTCTTGTAAATGCTGCTGAGAGATTTAATTGTTCTGTGCAGCCAGAAGTGGAGCATCACTTGCTCTTTGACCAGAAACTGCACATTATAGACACTACACTTCTCTGTTTTTTCCTGTCCTCTGTACTCAAAAAGTCCCATATACCTTACTTGGAGCAATAAATTTTTATCTCCTAAACATGACTAACAACAGGCTAAAATCTTGCTTTAGCTTGCTCATTACTTGTTTAAATCTTTCTATATATCCTTTGAAGCAGATCAGGCCCCCTGCCATGGTACAGTGACAGTGCATGCCTGCAGTGAAGCTGGAACTGCACTGCTGCCATGAGAAAGAGAAATAGTTTTTTCACGTAAAGATATTGCTCTGCTGTAAGTCATGGAGCAGGCATGTGAACCATTTATGGAGCATAGCTACAGAATCAGTGAACAGGCTGCATTTCAAGACTGGCTTCAAAACAAAGAAGCCTGAGGAAGGAGAATCCTGGTTTGGGTCACCTGTGCAAAGCTCTACAGTTATGATTAATATAATGGGAAACTTACTTTGGGTAGGAAGCCAACAGGACCTTGGCTTTTACTGCTTACCTTCTGGGCATTATGCTGTTGGATAAAAAATGTGGAATAAGTAACACCTTTAAGCTTGTTAAAAAGATTGCCATTAAGAAGTTTGAAAATAAAAATGCATCAGGAACCAATGTGCCTTAAGTATAATGGAGATAGATTTTTAATGTCAGAAAAGAGAAATATTCTGTTTAAGCTGGGATGTGTTCTGGTTTTGTCTTATTTTCTTGGTCATAAATTCTGAGAATTAGTAAGTGTAGCTGTTGGGGAAATGGCATCATTGCACTGTTGTGTAATATTGGACTAACAATGATTATAAGCAAATAAAAAGGTTGAGCTAATGTTGTTTCTTGAAGCTCTTAATGGTTTATCGGCTGTCATTGTTGGAAAGAATATTTTCTGTATTTTTCCTAATGTTGCAAAAGTGGCTATTGAAATCTTTAAACACATTTACATAGATGGTAGTAACTAGTTTGAAAGTGGGAGGTGGTAGGCATTTTTTAACAAACTGGCCCTTGTTCTTGAGGACTACTGCACTATTCTGACTGGAATAATAATGGAGTAACGGACTGTAGTGCAACTTTGCTGGATAATCTGGTTGTATAGCAAAGGCAGTGTTTGTAGTGTTGGAGTGAGGAAACAAGAGCATGAAATGTTTTATTAGGAAATCTCTTTTCAGTTGTGTGTGGTTTGAAAACTCAGGATAATACTTCAGGTGTGCATCTGGTAATTTTCCTGAACTATTTTTCTTCAAGAAATCAAAACATACTAGTCAGTATCAAACTGATAAGCAAATTCAAGCAATTTTGAAATTAATTGACTTGTTTGAAAATCAAATATTTCATGCAGTGCTTAAAAAAATCTCATTAGGAATGACTTTCTTTATTTGTGACCAGCAAAAATTTAGCTGAAGTTTTAGTATGACTTTTTCCATATTGCTAATTTCATCTTGAATGGAGTATAGGTTTGAATTCCGAGGAGGCATTTGTGGAAATAACACCACATATGTGTGGCCCTAGGTACGTTTAGCCATT